TATTATTATATATTATAAATGTATATATAAATACATACCTTATTTAATGCATAGGATAGCATTTTATATATATGAATATAGATATATAGATAGATAAATAAATAAATTTATAACTACCATATTATTAATTTTTTATTACTTTCTTTACATTAAGAAGTAAAACAGTTACAATAATAGTTATAACTCATAATTTTATTGTTGAAGATAAATATGAAACTCAACATAAATAATGATTTGATTCATAATGATATAATTTTAGATGAAAGAAAATGAATCGTCTAGTCATTAATAATTGTATATAATAATTAAAGAATAAAGAATAAATAATAAATAAATATATATTATTCTATTATTATTATATATTAAATATATATAGATTAAAAGTGTAATAAATCTATCTCAAGAGTGATGGTTGGGAGTGTATTTATAGCCCTGTAAGGTTGTTTTCCACATGGCAAGTCCCCAGTTGTCAATCTTGCAACATTGTCATGTATTGTAGCTTCATGGAGATCCATAGGAGTGCATTAATTCTCGTGTCAGAACATTTAATACAATGCGAGTCATGATGTCATCTCAATAGAAAATAGGGTGAGATGGGGAAGCAATGTTATTTTGGTCAGCCAATCATCCCAAAATTGGATGTGTGAATCGATTCCTCACACTATCTTTTCCCCAATTGTACCTTGGTGCTTAGCCATTTACCTAATCATAATTTGTAGCCTCATTAATGGTCAATAGCTTTTAAAAGCCTATTGTCAAATAGAATGGCTCTCGACACATGAACGTTTAGCTTTTAATGGCTTGTGGCTTAATAGAATAGCACTCGACAAGTGGTCATTTGTCTTTTGAAGGCCTGTGGCCAAACAAATTAACACTTGACACTTGGTCGTTTGGCTTTTGAAGGCCTGTGGCCAAACAGAATAGCACTCGACATTTGGTCTTTTGGTTTTTAAAGGCTTGTAGCTTAACAGAATAACACTTGACACGTGGTTGTTTGGCTTTTAAAGGCCTATGGCTGAACATAATAGCACTTAACATGTGGTCATTTGGTCTTTCTTCTTTCTTCTTCTTTTTGTAATAAATGTTGTTATTGTTCACCTAGTTGTTTAAGTATCTCATCCTTTAAAGGAGCATCTTTGCAAAATGTGCCTTAAGAGTTTGAGTTTACATTAATTTGATAAGACATGTAATTAATGTGTTATAACAGCTTGGTTGAGTTGCCTACCCCCTCTACAATAATTAAGTTATTGAGTACATATCCCTTTACAATACTCATTCTCATATGTAATGTGCAGTTTGGATTTTGCAAAAGACACACTGCCCTACATCAAAGTTAAAGACAGAGCCTTTGATTCAAAATCCATTCATGGAGAAGCATATTATTACCATTGCCTTTGTATTTCAGCTAGTGGAAAAATCTTACTTGGATCAAATCAAAGATTCTGTTGATATCAATTAATCCATCCTTAAATATCCTTTCATTTCAAGTTCCCCAAAGTGTCTAGAGTGTTGCAAACTATATGATTTCTCAACCATATTTAGTTTTGTTGCAATGACATAAACCTTCATACTTATTAAAAGCCTTCCAACACGCTGCTATTCCTGTTGCAATTATTCCCCACCATGTGTAACATTTGTGCCAAATTACCTTGGACATCTTGCAATGGAGAGAAAGGTGTCACTATCCTCATCGTGCTCATAACCTAGGCTGCATTTTGATTCAATGGCATTCTTAATAACTTCATGTCCGACTAGATTTATTTTAGTTGGGATGTTGTCCAAAATAGCTTGCCAAACAAAATCACAAACTTTTTGGGGGACAAATGAGTTCTATACTCTCTTAAAATTTCTTTTGTGAGGCTTTGAATAAGAGCTCACGAGGAGGTGATAGCTTGTCTTTGAAGAATAGCTGCCACTTGAGTGATGTTTCCAAATCCACAAGTCATCAATAATAAAATGGATTGTTACTTTTGCCAACAAACCTTTAAGTTTTAGCACATCCTCCTTTTCCCATGGATCTAGTTGGCACCTGCAAGGAAAGTTTCAAGTCCATTTGTCATATTTCAATGTGCCTATTTGATACATGGAGTTTTTTTTTACTTATAGAGATCGAAAATAATCTAGGAAATACATTAGCAACCTCTCCTACTTTTAGACATTTGTCCCTCTCCAAAAACACACACTTTTATCCTCCCCCAACTACAAACTCAAACCCCTTTGATAACCAACCATTATTCTCCCTCTCAATAACATCTAACTTACATAAATCTTTCCACTAATTAAACCTCACTCTTCTACCTCCCTTGACCCAGTTCATCTAGTTTTCCCTTTCCTTACCATATTTTTCCTTTATAATCTTAAACCACATACTCTCTCTACCCTATGCCACATTTTCCCACCATTTGCCCCTTAAAAACAAGTTGAATAGTCTAAAGTCCTTCACTCCCAATCCCTATCACCTTTATTCCTACAAATTTGTTGCCACTTAACCCAATTGATTTTCTTTGAAATCCTA